TAAACGAAACATACTGTGATAAAGTGAATGGAACTTGCCTTGATGGATGCCATGGGCATTGGAATGGATCCAAGTGTAAAGGTAAATAGAAAATTTAATAATTTAAAAGACTTTTGCATAACTATAAATGTATTTGCGAGTAAAAAACAATATTCTGATAACTGTGCACTCATGTTTGTATACATGTTGTGAAGTGTAGTTACACCATGACAAGTCAGACACCCAATTACTTTTATGAAAATTAATGCTTGATTTGAACATATATTTGTTTTCACAAAGTAATAGAAATAAACTTACATGAAGCTGATTTTTTTTTTCGTTGTGAAATGAATAATGTAGTTTTTTTATATATATAATCATTGTAGAGTGTGAGGATAGGTACTATGGTACTAAGTGAGAGGATAAATGTAGCAACTGTTTAAAACATTCATGTGAACAGGACAGTGGACACTGTTTCGGTGGCTGTAATGAGGGATGGACAGGTGCTAGGTGTAATGGTATGCATCATATCATTCCTTGTTATCATATGGTTATAATCGTACATTACATTAAGTAAACTAAATGAAATTGTACCCGAAGTAGCACATAATGAACCAGTACAGTGATTTATACATATGCACAATATTAATTCAAATCTTTTTACATTCCGACGCATTTCCTTTTCGTACAAACTGACTGCGTGTTAACTTTCTCTCCTCCATCAAATGAATCTGCTAAAACATAAAGTAGTTTATCAATAGTATTCCACCAGCCAGTGGTGGAGTCTCAATGTAAGTGAAAAAAAAAATTCAAGAAACATACAAACCAACACGTTCTCATTTGCAATTTTGATCTGGCATTTCTTCTAACGAAGTAAATATAACGCCTTATGCAGAAAAAAATTCTTACGTAGTAGTCATCAACTTGATGATGTAATTTTGTTCACAGCCCTTCTCATATCATCAGAACCAAACAGAGGAGAAATAATTGGTGGACTCTTGACTGCGTTCACAGTTTTTGCATTCGTAATTACTATTGTTATTTTGGTTCTAAGGTATCGCTTTTTCTCTTATCATATATTTTCATTTTCTTGCTGTTGAATGAAACACAAGAAATTTAAAAAATAAATGCATTACATCACAAGTAGAGATCGCTTTGAAACTGTCACCTTTCAGTTAACTAAATGACAGTGGTCTATCCCGTGATGATTGTTATTTTCTAGACAGTCTTCAAATTCATGATATATAGTTTCTTAAAATTTTACAGGCGACAAATAGAGCAAAAACGAGAAGGGGGCACAGAAAACTTATCCACAGCCGTTGAGTATAACCCAAAATGTCACCCTGAAGAAAAAGGATACGTGAATCTCGGTGGTAAGAATTGAAAAAAGTTGATCAGTGGTTTTTAAAATATCTTGGGTATTTTGAAATAGGTTTTATCACCAAGCCATTTTATAATCTCAATATCTCGATTCCCCGGATATCATAATGTTTACAAATTGGCCTATAATAGTTTGACTGAAGAGCAAACAAAAGGTCAGTAATTGAAGCAGCTAAATATCTCTAACTTATAAAGTCGTATTTTTTAGTTTAAAATGAAAGCAAAGTCTATAATTATTCATTCCTTTAATAGAAAATTACATCTTTTAGAATCAAGAATCTTAGCATTTTTCTTAAGAAATTGATATCTTTGGATGAAATTTACAGATGCAATATTCGAATATGTTTGCTTTTTAAAGGTCATCTGTCTCAAGCCTCACCTGACGTTAAATTACAAAAATCTCTGGCGAACCATGAATACTATAATATTAGCCAAGTTAGCACAATTATATATGTGCAGGAGCTTTACAGCACCATTGCTACAAAAAGCAGCGAAAAGAATCGTGATTTTCAATTGGAATACAAGGTATCTTGCCCTTATAAGAGTTGATTTTGTTGATACTATTTGTAGAAACCTTTTTTTTCTTTTATCTGTAGTGCAATTTATTGAAAAATCAAAACAATCAAAACTTTAAAATATCTCTGGATTAAGAGACTTCAAGTCTATCTTTAAAATATATTTATTTATCCAAATACAACATAAGATAAGTGAAAGTTCCATTTATTTACAATACTACTAAAAACATTTTACAATATTTGCCTTGAGCGCTCATGCAGTTTATACAAAGATAAACAGAGTCAATCTCCCAGCATCGGAACCAAATACTAGCACGTATCTGTCAGTTGGTTCCTAACATTCTCAATGTATAATTGTCTCAATGTTGTAGCATTAAATCCTTTGGGAACCTGAATGCCTAATTCCGTTAATTTCTCTCTTAATTGAGCAATAGTCCAATTTAATGGGTTGTCCATATCCAAATCCGGCGAAACATTGTCTACGGCAGGTGTTGAAACATCGCCTACTTCCCTTTGTCTTGCAACAGATCTCCTAGTTGCTCGCGGCATATTGTGTAATACACTTCTCAACACATCGATATTAGCCAAAAAATATACTTCCACAGTGTTTACTTTCCTATAATAAATTAATCGTCAAGTTTTAAAAACATCCCGTAACACTCGTCACACCATAGAACAACCGAGTCATTTCCAAATTTTGGATAAAAGTATGTGAAATCCAAAAACGGAAGTAGGTCACAGTTAAGACGTTGTAAATGTCACTATACAGGATAAATTATCACATAATCGAAATACACATCACAAAAATTTTAAGGTAAAATATTATTGAACTGGAAAGAGTAAACAAAAACACTGCAGGAAAGCTAACAAATGATTCTTGATTGGTTGATTTTAATTACGAGGTTTACATGAAGTTCATAGGGGGTACTCTACTTTGTACAGATTAATGATATGAATTGGAAAAAAAACACTGATTATAAACATAATCAATATTTGCGCATCCGCTATTTACAACCCATAGTACAGCTATTAAAAGGGAAACGTACACAATATCCTCTCAATAAAAGCTTTGAAATTCATCAAATCATTACTTAATCTACTATAATTGAAAAAATTACAATCCATTTTTTAAAGTTTTCTATTGAGAAGTATCGTGAATACTTTTTCTGATGTAGCTTTTATGTTATCATTTTTTTTTTTACAAAACAATTTAATTATCTTAAAACTATTCACGATTTTAATATGGTATTCTTGATTTCATCTTGCATGGAAATTTAATGATGGATTCAGGAAAGAGCAAACATCTACAAACAAAAAGTTGATTTTAAGAAATTAATTAAATCCTTCAAAAATTATACTTTGTGTTTTGATTTAACATAATGTATTTCTATATATCGTCGACATTTATATGAATTGCGATTATGAAATAACATTTAAGAATTAATCTAAAAAAAACCGTCAAACGAGAAATCACTTTCAGTCTAAAAGCATGTCAAAGTGATTTTTTTTTTTTGGTTCATAAATAAAATAGTCAATTTTGTTTTATGATCATCTCTATTTCTAATCTAAATCTACTTTAACTAGGAACATAACTTTGAAGAAAATGGTATAAATGTGAAGACAACAAATAGCTGTCGATAAAAAAAGATGAACTTCTTTTCTTATGGAGAACTATTGTGAATACTTTTTCTCACGTAGCTTTGATGTGAACAAGTTTTGGAACAAATCTATTTAATTATCTTAAAATTTTCCACCATTTAAGTATGGTATTTTCCATTTTTTTTTACATGGAAATTTAATGATGGATTCAGGAATAAGCAAAACTCGTTCACAGACGAAAAGTTGATTTTAGCAAACTACTTAAATCCTTCACAAAGTATATTTTGTGTATTGCTTTTACATAGTGTATTTCTATATATCGTAGACATTTATATAAATCACGAATATGATTAACATTTAAAAATTCATTTTAAAGAAATAGCTTCAAACGAGAAATATGTGACCAGGAAAAAACACACCTGCATTTTCTGAGATTGGAAGTAAGCATCTGTCTTATTCTTATGTATTATTTCATTTAAGAGACTGCCTCCTGCAGACGCAAACAAATGCCTTACAGCCCAGAAGAAAGATAACGTCACCAAAAACCGGTTTAAAACGACATTTCCTTGAAAGACTATTTTCAAAATACATTTTTTACTTATGTTTTGAAGGTGAGAGTCCGGTTTATGATCATTTTACAAGGTTATTAGGCTAGGGGAAATTAAACAAACTATTTTCTTTTCTAAACTCGTATGGTGGTTGCGATATGAAATAGCACCTGAACTTCTTACACATTAACCACGTCAATGACAAAGATAATCACTGAAAAAAATCCGGTGACTGAACGATCAAACATATTTGTTTTTGTCCCTTAAAGTCATTTTTAAGTAAAATGCCTCGTCGTAATATTATTCTCTTATGCTACTGTAAAGGCTATTGGATTTAATGAATTTATATATATTTTTTTAAAATTAATCCTATACACTTTTCTAACTTTACATTGATTCAACATTTTATATATATATATATATATATATATATATATATATATATATATATATATATATATATATATATATATATATATATATATATATATATATATATATATATATATATATAAGGCCATGCCAAGAATAACATGATCAATAGCTTTCATTTCATTTTCTTATTCAATTAAATTTAATCAGTTAATTGTCCATTCTAATTGGCATAGATGAACATTCGAGGGTTGTCCTTGAAGAGAAATGGGATGAAAATGACAACGATTATATCAACGCAAATTTTATAAAGGTATTGTTTGAAACTGGCGTAGTTTTGTGCATCATTATATGTTTTTTGGTATAAAAATGAAGATTTATATATTTTTTTCATTTGTTTTAATGATAAACCGATGCGCTTAAATAGTTTCGCTGGTAGTTGATCATGTGGAATAAAATATTGACTCTTTGACACTCTTCTCATCATCAACATGATTAATTCTCCCTACATATTTGATAAAACAATCATATACCGTCTGTTTGTTCGAAGAAATAGTATCCTCTAAAAGCAAACGTTTCCTTTTGCTGGCCTTAGTATTTAGTTAAAATGTCTGGTGTCAAAAGAGTTTTTTTTTTTGTTGGTTTGTTTGTTTTTATATATATATATATTAATAACTATTGATGTTTAATTATGTTTATATCTTGTATACTATATTTACATTTTATTGTTTTAGGATTATAAAAGCGAAAGACGTTATATTGCAGCCCAAGGTATAAAATGCATATATTTCTATTATGAATGTATTTAATTATATAAACGTATTATACAACTTTTATTTAAAAAAATCATACATGCACAGTTAAAATTCTCGTACCACGATAATAATCCTAAACATACATATAATTCAAATATATAGCTTAAGGGGTATGCCAAAAACTGATATTTTACTCATATTTTGAATGCAGGTCCACGGAAAAACACATTGGCAGACTTCATTAAAATGATATGGCAAGAAAACATAGAATGCATTATTATGTTTACAAATTTAGTTGAAAACGGAAAGGTATGATGGCTGTTAATTTATGGGTTTTTTCTTTCATCTGGCATGTGAATTTAAACTGTCGATGGCAGAAAAAATAAACATTTTGATTTTTTTTTTCAGAATAAGTGTGCTAAATACTGGCCGGATAAAGAAAAGTCTGTCAATATTGGAAAGTGTACTCTTAGTCATTTAGAAGAAACAGCATATGCTTTCTATACAGTTCGAATGTTCTCCTTTCAAAAGAAAGACGTAAGTTTCTATTTTTCTCATCAATAACAATTAATTAAATGGATTAACAATATCTAATCAGTAACAACATTTGGGAAAAGACATTTATTAATGAAATAGAAAAGAAAGACAAATTCCTCTGCCGAGTATTCATCAGGTTATATACCGTTGTATGGGGTTGTATTACTTTTTAATGTCATTTATCTTCTGTACGCATTTTCACCTTGTCCACCAGATAGCATATATTTTTTTTTACAAATATAGTATAGAAAACACTCTTTTTTCGATCCAGTCACATGATATACGGATTATCACCCAGTTCCATTACACGGCTTGGCCAGACCACAGTACCCCAGAGGAGATAGGACTTGTTCAGTTTCAGAGAACTGTGACAAAAAGATATGAATCTGGTGCCCCTTTACTGGTTCACTGCAGGTAAAAATTCATGCATCATATTTTTGGTTTTCAATTTCCCTTCCATGTTCACAAAGTATTGGATTTCTTGCAGAGGGTATGTACAAAATCTGAATTAATCTATTGCATCAAACTTGTGAAATAATATAAATATTAAAGCAATATATGCATAAAATGTTATCATTTTTCACAAGACGAACGCAACATATAATTAATTAAAAAGATAGTCCTGGTATCCGGATAAAAATTGAATTGAAATTCAATCCTGCCAAGCAGGATAACTAATATAACTGATTTATTTCTGTGAAAAGAAATGTAAGAGATAACCAGTATAATTAATACAACTTTGAGACAATTCTGGTATTCAGATAAAAAATGAAAATGTTCCTGGTAGCCTGGAAAATTAAAACGGTTGTTAGATAAACGTAGTAACATAGATAATTACAAAAATTGTAGAATAAACCCTTTTATTTAAATTAATTCTGGTTATTTGGTTGATTTATACAGTTGTAGGATAATTCTGATAACACGTTTATTTGAAAACATTTACGTCTAATGCTTGGATAATTCTGATATTTCTTGCTTCATTTCAGCGCCGGAGTTGGCAGAACGGGTACATTTATTGCTCTGGATTCTTTACTGGAACAAGGAAAAGAAATGGGGAGGATCAACGTTTTTGAGTTTGTCAAACAAATGAGAGAGGACCGCATGTCTATGGTTCAGACATTGGTAAGAATGAAAGTCATGAAATCAGATACTGTAGATTATAAAGATTATGATATAAATTTATTTATTAACCCCCCTCCCCCCGAAAAAAAACAGTTTAAACGCTAAGCACATTTATAATGAGCATTGTAATAAATACAGTAATGAAAGAAACATGCACTATTTAATACACAACACATTTTTATTCATATCCCCAGGAGCAGTACGTTTTTCTACATAAAGCATTGCTGTGTGGATTCCAAGAGAGAGACACAATCCTATCGGAATATGATCTGTCCACAAAAGCAAGCTTCCTTCTCAATGACACAGCACCATTAAATCAACAACATTTATACAAGGACTTTAAAGTGATTTTTACTATATTTCTTTTTATCTATCTGTATATTAACAATCATAAATTATTTGTGTTATATTTGCATGTAATCTATACTTTATACTTTCAATTAAAATTTAAAAAAAAAAAATGCTTATAATAAATTGTCGCTTACATAGCGAAGCAATTTTCATCCCCTGTGACTTTAGATATATTGCTATCTTCAATAAAAATAACGCTAAAAACGAAGCAAAATCGCCCGTCTCTGGCACTTCATTATCATCGTGTTTTACTGTACATATTTTTAATTCGTACTGTTTTAATGTAGTTCCTTGAAACCATAATTCCAGTGTATGAGGACGAATATAAAGAGGAAGCATTGAAAACTGAGAACAGGTCAAAAAATGGTGATATGGATATTTTACCAGGTATGCTACAACCCTAGGGATTTTCATTTAAGAATCATGTTTTCTTATCACACCATGAGATAATCTTTTCAAATTCTATTCTTCCCATTCATTTAACCCTTTCCAGCAACAAAATTTAAAATTGTGATTTTTTTACTGTCAGAATATCGACCATTTCTTGCATCATTTGTGAAAGGAAGAAATGGATATATAAATGCAGTGATATTTCCGGTAAGTAACAGATATACAAACAGATGTACCTTTGATACTTAAGAACTTTAAAGTTCCTGTTTGTATGTAGATACATTATGAAACAACAACAATAAAAGGAAATTTCGTCTAATTATTCAAGGGTATTGTTTTAGTCATATACTGCAGCGGCTGGGCTGATTATGACACAGAGCCCCCTCCCTGATACGGAGGTTGATCTGTGGAGATTGTGCGTGGACCATCAGGTTGGGGCAATCGTTGTCCTGAATGACATTGATGAGGTACAGTAAATGAAAATTATTAAAATAATGAACTGATAAACAGTTTTTTCTGAATGGATTATATGTTAATTTGTTTATTAATATTTACTGATTTATTTAGTTTCCCTCCTCTTTACTAAAAATAAAACTGGGAAATCGAATTAAATTTGCATAAAGTATTAATTTTTTTTTTCTTTTGATATTGAACATAATATGTTTTCTTTATAATTTTGTCTTCATAAGGATAATAATTGGTTGCCCGCAAGAGGTGAGAATCGTTCATGCCCACCATACCTGATAACAGCTAGAAAGACTGGAACGAACATTGGTGGCGTCAGTCAAAGTAGTCTGCTTATTTTACGGGATGTATGACTGTCTATAACTGTATAGACTTAGTAGAAAATATGTCAGATATATTGAAAAGTGATTATTTCAATAAAATCGATAATCAATATTATTCTAACATTAGAAAAGGTTAGGAAAAAGTTGTACTGTATTGTCATAAAGTACATAGAACATGCCAATTTCGTACATATAGGGAGAGACACAAAACATAACCGCCTTCCAAGTATGTTCCAGGAATGATGACGGAGTGATCAAATTGGCCGAGATGGTGTTAGAAAAAGAAAAGGAATTTAAGTTAACTTCTGTTGTTATAAGCAAGTATGTACGAGGTTATCCTATAGAAATTTATCTCTCCAATGCAGGAAGAATAACTTGTATTGGATATTTAATGCAGAACATTGACCATTCTCATTCCATATTTATTGCCAGTACTAGTGCAAAAAAAAATCAGTACTGTAAATTGATTTCTCTCATTAATTTCAGAGGGAAAAAAAACAAAAAATATCGTTTTCTACAGTATACGTTATAATAATTACCTTTCACCACTTTGATTATGCATCTTTTTAATCATTTAGGGTTACATGACAATAAGGAAAACCTGCACAGTTACATGTACATAGTTATTTATTGACCGAGAACGGGACATTCTTGTGTTTTGTCTTAATTATTAGTAGACCTTCTTTTCAGAAGTGTTCCTGCAATTAACTACTTTTTTCATAATTGACGCACATCTATCTATGTATAAAATATTGGTATATATTAATACACAGGGATGGTGCAGGTGCAGCGGGAGTGTTCTGTGTTTTACATAACGCCCTTCAACAACTTCGTATGGACGGAGAGGTTGATATATTTACTATTGTCCGACAACTGCATACCAGGAGACCTGAAGCAATAGCTAATCTGGTAAGTGAGACTGAAAACAATACTCCATCATATGTTATAATATAGACAATAATTGGTTAAGCAATCGCTAAATTTTTCCAACCTTCCAAAAATAAGAAAAATATGTGTTTGGTGTGTGAATTAACTCATTTATCTTTTTCTCCATTTCAGGAAGAGTATAGAAAATGTTATCAACTAGTTTCTCGATCCGTTTCAATGAATGAAACATACGCCAATGTGTGAAGTGTTCAATGCAGTGTTTATTTTCGAAACATGTCTCAGGATACATTTAGACACAAATAATACATTCTTGCTCCAATATGTATCCATGTTCATTTTTATGTTCCGATTATCCTGTATTGTTTTTGTTTGATGTGAAAGTATGAATAATATTAATAGAATTGATAGTTTGTTAATCGTTTAATGTTTATAACACAATTGAAAATAAGATATTGGATCTATATTGTTCAAAGCATGCTTCTCAAAGTGGCCATGCTATCACGGGTATAATGCAATAAACAATGCGGTGAAGGTTAAATCCCTGCAACTAGAACCAAAGAGAAGGGTAATTTACACATTGCTTCTGACGTGCATTTCTGAAAACTATGTAATGTTCTTAAATAAATCTTAACAGAAAAAAGGTGGTACAAAACATTATATTATTTTTCGGATAGTCAAATTAAACAACTTAATATGTTTTCTTAAGTCAAACTTTGATTTTTAATGACCAATACCATTGATTCCATCTTAAAAAGATGACTCATATATGTGTAACCCATAATTATTTGAAAAAAAAAACTTGCTTGGTACTCACTGTACTATCTTACCAACCAATTATATAACTATACTGGTTCTTCCTGCTTTTAATAACCAAAGTCATCGTTTATTCAGTTTCCATTTCACCAATAAACGAAATGCATTGTTTCAAACAGACAACTTATATAAATGCCATACTTTTTTCTTATTGTTTTCCGTGATTTTTATTGCTCTCCTTGACTTTTACGAGTCAGTGTTAGGTATGGCCCGTTTTCAATATTAGAATATATAAAGAATAATATGTTGATCACATAGAAATGACTAATGAATTTGTTTTTATATTTTGTTAGATAAAATGCTAACTTCTTATGTCAAACAATAATATCAAAGGAATAATTCATTCCATGTGTTATACTTGGAATAAAAAGATACTTTATTCAAATTCTATTCTTTCGATAAAATACGATTCTATTCTTTACCTGTTCACAGCATAAAGAAAATATGATTTTAAAAAGGACTTTTTTAATTTTAAAAAAGGAAAATATTTCCTCAAGTGATTTCTCCTTGACACAACATTTTATTTTAACTCTATATTGCCCTTATAAGAATTTTATAACTTAAGAATGTTTGGATTAAATTAATCCTCAGTGAACTTGACCAAACATCTAAAAAAAAAATCACTCCGCTACATTTATTTGTTTTCCTTCAATGTTTAAGGGTGGACATTTTCTTATTTTAACAAATTCCAGTTAATTGAAGCAAGAATAGGGGTTGTTTCCATCTGCAACTAAAACAGTTTTTACTTTTCTGTATAATTTTGAGGAACATGTCGTTATGATGATATAATTTAGCTAAAATTTTAACCTCGGGAATAGATCAAAGCTTCTAAACAATAATTAATGTGATATATGTCCTTTTCTCGGTACAGTGCATTTCATTTGAAACCTTGCATGCTTTTTTGTATGAATAAAATGCTACTGTTCCTTCTTCTGTTACCGTTAGTATGAAGTGATATAAAAGATTGGAATCCCTGTTACAATAATAGTAAATATTTCCTGTAACAGTTTTGTTCTTTTTGAATATGGGTCGGTTTCCGAAGCCCTTTCTTTTATTATCGTTCGTAAATATTCCGTTTGAAATAATGAAAGGTGGGAAGACTATGGTAAACAATGAGATATGAAGTTTTAGAAAGCGGAAGATTTTCTTGACAATTGGAAAACAGTAACAATTATATGCATATAATTGATTCGATTAGATAACACATGCCATTTTGAGGTTTTTAAATAAAATTTTCCTCATTGTCGTTACTTCTCGGTATTTGTTATTCCTTATCTATGAGTTGAGGGATATTTTATTCATTTTCTGAAAAATAAGAATTATGAAAATCGGTTTATATTGCGATTCTTTTTTATCGTAGCAGCAAAATGTTTGGGTATTGTATTTAACACACAAAGCCTTGGGTAGAAAAAAAATCATTTAATTCGATGCAGTTTTTTTTTTAGGGAAATCGTTTTCCATTAACAATTTTATAACTTATTATTATTATTATTATTTTAGTGGATTGTTGGAAGAGTTCTTAAGATAAAGATCTATCAATAGAAAGGTGCCTATAACTTTCTCGAATTTAAAACAAAAATGGGTTTTAAAAAGAGCTAAGTGAAATGGGCCATATTTTTGTAAGGTAAATATGGAAAAAAAATAAACTATCATTTGCTGAGAAAAGTGAAGATTGATTGATTGATTGTATGTTGTTTTACGTTCCATTCGAGAATGTTTCACTCATCTAGAGACGTCAACATAAACCTGTGGTCTTCAAATTTCGACCCTTAATCGGCACTCAGGGCCATTGAGCAGTGAGGGATCTTTATCGTTCCAACCCCTGCCGTGACACGGGGCCTCGGTTTTTAAGGTCTCATCCGAAGGACCCGCAACTTTCTATATATATATATATATATATATATATATATATATATATATATATATATATATATATATATATATATATATATATATATATATATATATATATATATATATATATTTCGGTATATCGAAAATAATGGATACGTCGTAGGTTGTAATGATTTTGAACTCCCAACCACATATTCTTTTAGCATTCAAAATACTGTTACTGTATAAAATTATTATCTAGAATTTGACCTTTAATTAATTTTTTCTATCATACCTATAATTTGGTAATTGTTTCTTTGCATCCCAAATAAATGGTTGAATTTAAAAAAAAAAAAAAAGAGATAACAAACAAAGCCTCAGAATATTTCCTGGTAATGGTAAATGTACATTTGAACAGATATACGATTTTCTTGAAGTAGAAAACCCTTAGTGACTATGAGGCTTATTCCGTTATAGCATCTCTAAGTAAATTTTACCAAACATACTTAGCAGACAAGGCCGTAATAGGAGCGTGGAGTGACGTGTAGTATAATCCTTCCTAAAATTTAGTTCAAAGAGGCTTGGTGGAAATTCACGCTTAAACTTTCGTCTAATGGAATAATGTAGCTTACTTAGATTTTCCTCAGATTTTTTTAACCTACTTATTTATTTACCGAAATTTAGGTAAGCTTTTTTTTCTTACGTAGCTCTATTCTATAACTGTGTTTTACTTAATAAAGTACATTGTTAATACTTAAAATATAAAGTCATGTATTTGATAAGATAAAAAGTTATAATTGTGAGTAAAATGCGAAAGTGAAAGACACATGCATTGGTAATAATAATTGAATAATTGCTCAACAGTCTCTCTTGAAATGAAATCTCAAAACAAATAAATAACCCTTTGTGAGGATCTTATTCCATTTTGTTAAAAAAAAGATAATTATTTGATAATTATTAAATTGCCATATATACTCGCCATGTTTATTACGCCACATTTCTCTTCTCCTGCATGTAAGGAAATTCAGGAGTGTATTTCTTCAGAAAAACTGAAAATAGTTATTATGAGAACATCCTGCCTTATACAATTTTAAATATGAACTATAGAAACACGGCGGAACTCTCAGTAGATGTGCTCAATGATTCTTCATTTATACCATCGTATTACGTGTAGGGTCGAGTTTTTTTAACAGGATCGCACGCCACAGCTGTGTTATGAACGTCACCGTCAATAAAGCGACCACTTGTCTTATATTCAAGAGAGAGTATGTGTGTTAGAATGACTTTCTTAATGAATGGGACTGTTTCATAAACATATAATTGAATTGGAAATAAATTTAAAGTACTATATTTTTTATGAACAGTATTATATTCTTTGCAGCACAAATAGCTTTGCATTTGATTGATTGATTGAATGTTGTTTTACGTCCCGTTCGACTTCACTATGTACCGATGAAGGTCATATTTAGACATTTACTCGGCACTCAAGGCCATTGAGTAGTGAGGGATCTTTATCGTGCCTACTCCTGCCTTGACACGGGGCCTTGGTTTTTAAGGTCTCATCCAAATGAACCGCAACAAAGTGCCGAGCGCTTGGCGAAGGAACAGTTGCTACCTATTTTTTTTTTATCGATTTAGGTTTGGGTTTGAACACACAACCTTCTGATCACGGACATCTGCATTTGAAATATGCATATAATATTCATACATAAATAAAAATAGACCTTCTAACATTTCAAAGTAAATATGCTGCCCGGATCAATGGATACTTCATAAATTAATGGAACATTTCTCTTCGGATTTCCTACCTATTATGAATAAATTTGTTGTTCTGTGCTAAAAAATACTTGAAATATTTATTGAAATTTATTATCAACAATAACAACGGTTTCCTTTTCTTCTGTTTTTCTAAAGGAGAGGTAATATTTTAATAACTTACTTGTAATACATCTGTAAACCTTGAAAAATCATAAAAAAAAACTTTCGAATTACAACAAACTACACGAATTGTCTCCTTGCACGTGATATGCTCTAGACCAATCAGATTATATTATTCTGAAAGATAGATATAATTTTTGGACCATGTATAAACTTCCCTTTTGGCCATATTGGTTAAAGAGTTTTCAAATGGTATTTGCTTTTTTTTTGTTAAATGCCGGTATATAAAACCTGATACGGAAATTTAATCTGAAGACAAACAATTTAACATGATCATGCTCATTGTGTATATCCATTCATGTCCTGTCATTAAACATTTTATGACACTGGATGTAATTATTTCTTTACAAACCTTTGAGTATCGAAAGCTTCACATACTCAAAATATTTATCTAGTAGCACATCATTATTAGAAGAAACGTAAAATTAGGAGACAAAATAGTTGTTGCTGCTAAAGCGCAAATTAAGATATTTGTTTGAAATTATGATTTTACTAGAAAATCTATATATAGGAGTGATTCTTGTCGTGTTAACAGAATCATTAGATAAGTATTTTTACGAAATCTTAATTTGATGCTTTCTACATATGTTAGATCCTCTCTGAGATTTTCTTAAATTGGTGTAAAGCTTATCCATGTTTGGGGGGCGGGGAGGGGGGGGGGCGTTGTAGCGTGTCTATAATAAACATAGTTTGAGAATCGATTTACGTCTCATCTACGCTATATCCTGTTTGCCACAATATTATGTATTCATTTCCTTCTTGTATGTTGAGTGTAAACGTAGAATCAATATTAATATATGGTATAGTCACTTAGTCTCAGTACTTAGTAAAGGTCTACGTTTGAAGTTCTTCACCGGTATAAGGGATGTCTCATAAGAGTGAAATATTCTGGCAAGGGATGTAAACAACAAACAATCAACATATCATATCTGAGTTGCAAAGTGTTCATTTGATTCCAACATTATATTTAACAGGAAGTTTGTTTTAGTGGTTATTTAGCACTAGATGTAAGTCACGGGTCTTTTGGTGAGACCTTAAAAACCCAGGTCCCGTGTCATGGTAGGCGTTGACACAATAAAGAACCCTCACTGCCCACTGGCCCTGAGTGCTGAATATAGTTCAAAATCTGAAGCCCTTCATCGGCATACGGTGACGTCTCTAGATGAGTGAAAAATTCTCGAATTGGACGTTAATTAAATAAAATACAATCATTCAATCAATCAATATCCGTATTTGTCAAAACCAGATACTTTTCGATAAGAAGAATCTTATCTGACCAATAAAACATTATTTCAGGTCAGTAGCACAACAAATAGATTTTACTGCTTTGTCTCTAAGGTAGGTTATCTTTTTTTTTCCCTGTAAACAACCCATCTAAAAATAAACTCTTGAACAAGTATCGATATTCTGTCTTTAATAATGAAAAGAATTCTGTTTCATTGTGCAGAATGATGTATTTATTCAGAATTTACATT